GCCGAAGCCGCGGACGCGCTCCATCCAGGCGGCGACGTCCGCGCCGAGGTCGTGCTTCTGCATGGCGCAGATCATCGCGACGATCGAGAGCACGGACGACGGGCAGTCCACGAAGGCCGCGTCGGCGAGCGCCTGAGAGACGAAGCCGCGCGCCGTCGCCGAGATCTCGACCGACGTCGCGCGGAGGCCTCGGCAGAGCCCCTGAACTCCGGACCGCGAAGCGGTCAACTCCGGACCGCGAGCCGGCCGGGCCGGCGGAGGCCTCCGGGCCGCCGCGCGCGACACATCAGCTGGCTCTCCCGGGATCCCTGCTGCTCTCCCGCGTGTCGACGCGCCCGCGCTGCCCGGGCGCGGTCCCAGGCACGAGGTCCGGCGCCCGAGCAAACAAGCGCGCGTCCTTCGCGTCCGCCGGACATCTCCGCTCGCGCCCATGGCGTCGCTCCTGGCGGCGAACGCGCTGGAGAACTTCGAGGAGCTCGGCGCGAGCGACGACGACTCGGAGAGCGACGACGGGTCGCCGCGGTGCCGCATCTGCTACGAGACGGGCGGCGTGCTCCTGCGGCCCTGCGCCTGCGACGGGTCCATGGCCTTCGTCCACGGCGCGTGCCTCGGGCGGTGGCTCGCCGCGCAGGCGCCCACGGGCGTGTCGCGGACCTGCGACGTCTGCCGGAGCCCGTGGCGGGTCGTCTCGGAGCCGACGGTCGGCCGCTTCCTCCGGTCCCTCGTCTTCGGCGGCCGGGGCGCGGACGCCGTCGCGCGGCTGCTCCGCCACGTGAGCGAGCCGCGGCACGTGCGCGTGCACTGGGAGGGCGACGACGACGACGACGACGACGACGACGACGACGACTTCGACGACGATGACGGCGACGACGACGACGACTTCGCGCCGCGCGGCGCGGCCTGGGAGGCGGCGGCGCTCGGCCTGCCGGGCTTTTTGCCGCACGGCGGCCTCGTCGGCCGCGCGGCGGCGGCCATCGCGCGGCTCGCGCTCTGGTCGGGCTTCTTCCTCCTCGCCGTCGCCCAGGGCCGCGCCGCGCTGCGGCTCTTCGCGCTCGGCGTGCGCTGCGTGCTCCTCCTCGACTCGCGCG